CCTCCGCTGCTGAAAGTAGGTTTCTGGCCTTTGCTTACAATGTTGCGATCCTGCTGACTGAAGCCCGGCAGTTTTCTGGGGTTTTGTTTAGCTTCTATGTTTGTTACATAGTTGCTTAAACTGCAGCTCAGAGGCCTGCAGCCACAGGCGGAGACCCTTGCAGTCCTCTGTCACTGAAGCAAGCAAGCAATCCTCATGTTAGTTTCAAGCTGCCTGGCTGCTGGCTGCCATCTTGGCTGGCAGTTAATTTGCATATCTCGCTGATTAGCCAATGGGAAGGGTAGCGGTTGTAAGCCAATTACCATGTTTCTCTTTTATTAGATAGGATAAGAAATGCAGTTTGCACTCACTACCTCTTCAGATCTGAGGGGGGTATATTATTGGGTCCTGAAAGAACCTAAGTCTAAAGGATTCTGGAGGACTTTCAAGGTGCCAACTGTCTCTTTCTCTCAACTCTTTTGTATGTAGTCCTCCCAAATAGTGTTGGTCATTTTTGGTGGGATGATGGAATTCAGGGCAGAGAGAATTTGCTACTATCATCTGGGAGTCAGGACATCTCAACCCCCAACCATGTTCTGCCACTAACCAGCATTGTGATCTAATCAAGTCCCCCTGATGTGGCTCACTGTTAGCCATCTCTGAATTAAGGAGCTGAATGAGATTGAGTCTTCATCTCCAAGAACTTTCTTAATGATTTGAGCTATCCATTCATCTCCAGGGGCTTCTTCACTTCATTCACACAGAACTGATTTTTGAGTTTTTTACCTGGATAAACTGTCCACTTCTGAAAGCTTTCCCAGGCTCAAGGTTTTATGGGCAAGGGCAATGACACGGAAGCCTTGCATTGTGTAATTCCCCAGTTCCTGTGGGAAGTTCCTGGGCACTGCCAGGAGAGAAAAGACAGGTAAATGCAAGGTCACATTGAAGGTCACTGAACTCCTAAGCAAGGCTCTGGGATACAGTTGCTGTACCTTGTTTTAACCTTCACTCCATAAAAATACTTTAATAGAAAAACCACAGCTTCTAGTTAAAGGCCACAAACACTTCATAGTGTGTTCTTATTACTCTGACAAAAACAAATGCCAAAGATGTTCTGGTCATCAACTGAGTGTCAAATACACTGGCAAGATTCAGTATGGACAGACCTCAGGATTGTATCAAACTGGATGAAATGAGAGAAATATCAATTCTCTAAATCAGAGGTCAGTGAACTACAGGCCAAATCTGGCCCATTGTTTGTTTTTGTAAATAAAGTTTTATTGGAACATAGCCACACCCATTAGTTTCATTGTCTACGGCTGCTTTTAGGCTACAATGGCAGGGGTGACCAGTTGAAACAGAAACCATGTGGTAACAAATCCTAAATTATTTAGTACCTGGCTCTTCACAAAAATGTTTGTCGACCCCTACTTTAGACAATGGATGACACAATGCCAACACGTGTGTATTTTGACATAGTAATCATAACTAATGGTAGTATATTTATAAAATCTTATGGTTTATAGTATGCCTGTAAAGGCATTAGGAAGAAGCACAGTATAATGGGCGGTATAGCAGCTTATGTAGCAAAACACTGACTTCCAGTCTCCACTCTATTACCAATTAGCTCTCTGACCTTGGGCATGTTAAGTCTCTCTTCTGCACCTCCATTTCACAATAGAAAAAAGGAGGGGGTTGTAGCTCTCTATGTACCCATTCAGCTCAGACTTTCTGAAGTAATCTTGCAGGCGGGTCTAATTTCAAGGAAGCTCCTACCTCTCTATTTCTTAAGTACAGGAGGGGGAAAAAAATCACTGAAGATGACATTAGCATTCGTAAAGGATCAGAGTTTAGAACAATAGGAAGAATTGGAAGTGCTACCAGAAGAATAAGAGGTGACAAGTGGCACCAAACCTGACAGAGCAGGGTTAATAGCTACTGGTTAAAATACCAAAGAGATACTTATATCTGTGTGGCTGAAAAAGTAGAAAGACAAGTATAGGTCATCAGTCTATAAAGGATAGAGTTAATGAGAGCTATGAAGATCAAAGAAAAAGGAGGTACTTCTAAGACACAAATGACTCCAGTAGAGAGAGAAGTTAAAGCAATCATTTGCCAAATCAAAATTCTGTGCACGAGTTGATGGATATCAGCAATCATAAGGCGAATATAGATGAAAATCAAAAGGAAAAGGCCGATTTATCCAAATGAACTCATTTGAATGCAACAGTATTCTTATAAACCTGGGCTGCTGCTTAGAGGATGCATATGTTTATAAGACTATGAAACAAAAAAATCAGCTTAAAATCTGCCCCAGAAAGATGAAATTATTGTGAAAATGATCTATTACCTTGCTTTAATACCATCTAATTCACTGTAATCACTTTTTTTTCTACGACTTATCTTTTCTACATTCTCCTTCCATTGATGTCCCTGAGTCTCCTTTAGAGGTGCCAGTCCCCAGGAGGTGACAGAACACCCCTTCTGTAGAATTGGCCTAGTGTCCCAGCCTCTCCCTTTGGCTGTCTTCTGAGTGCTTCTCACTATCACCCACGCTGGTTCTCTGAGCCCTGTGCAGCTTCCTCTTCTGGCTCCTGATGCTCGCTTCACATCTCCTTCTCTGATACCCATTGTGGTTGAGCTTTTCTAGCTGGACCACAGCTGGGCATTTACTCTCTGCCTCTTTGCCTTGAAAGTATCATGTCTGCCTTATCAATTCTATGAGTCCCACTTCCCACACACTGAGAAAACAACCACCTCTACACTTATTGACTTAGGCTTGTTTGCTTTATGTGTTTGGACTTTTAAAGCACTTTCACTCCCGAAAGGGAAATGTGCCAGTTAGTACCTGTTTCGGATCTGCAGAACTTGACCAACATCTCGGGGGCACCCTTCATGTAGACATGGAAGTGATCCTCGCCTGCTAGCCCAGCGACCACAGACATCCTCTGCAGGCTTGATGAGAATGGAAACTGGCGCAAGATGGTGATAGCTTCCACAGGACTCTGAAAGTGGACCAAGAAAAAGGCGTTTAGCCCAGTCAGGATGGCTCAGTGGTTGAGTGTCAACCCAGAAACCAAGAGGACATGTTTCAATTCTCGGTCAGGGCACATGCCTGGCTTGCAGGCCGGTTCCCCAGTAGGAGGTGTGCAAGAGGCAGCTGGTGATGTTTCTCTCTCATTGATGTTTCTCTCTCTCTCTCTCTCTCTCTCTCTCTAAAAATCAATAAAAAATTAAAAATTAAAAAAGTAAAAAAGGGGTGTTTAAGAAGCTTTTAAGTGAGATTTAGCAGATACACACCAACAAACAGGGTTTCCTTTGCAATGAGCTCAGGGACATCATGAAGTGGTGTACTTGTCATAACATTGGTATTTTTCTGGCTCCCTCTAAGGCAATTCCCTCATCAAGTTGTCTGCAAGACCCTTTCCTGGAGAAATCCTAATCATTTTCCAGGCCAAGTTCACAGGTCACCCCTCCTTTGTGGTGCTTCTCTTTCCCAGAAAGAGTATTCACGCCCATCTCTGGATTCCTGTGGCACTGTGTTTGGCCTTTATTATAGCACTTGGCACGTTGTATTATACTTATTTGTACCTCTATTGATTTTTCTACCAGCCCGTGTACTCCAACACAGAGCCCAACGTGTCTAGCATTGAAATCACTCCATCCCTTAGCACCGAGCACAGTGCTCTAGCGTATATGCGTACTCAGTGGGTGTTGAATGAATTAATGGATAAATTCAGGAGTAAACAAATAAGCGAACCAACTATGGACACTGGTAAAGTAAGGCAAAATAATAGGGATATAGAAATATGTGAAATTCAGGGGAGCTTCATCTGTTTAAGGGGAAAGAGCTACATGATTGAAAGAAGCAAATCATACCCGACTGGCTTTCGGTCCTGGTTTTATTTTTATGTTTGAGTCTGACATCCTAAATTTGCAGTAGTCTACATTGCAATCTTCCATTATCTGTTTTAAAATAAAAAACATTCATAAGATTCCTTAGGGAAAAATAATAAGAAAGAAATTTCTCTCATTTGCATAGCACTTTAATCTTTCCAAAGCCCTTTTCACATACTTTTTCCTCTAGGCCAATTATCTTAACACCCCATTGTCAGATTTCTGTTGTGTTGATTTACGTTAAAGGATCTTCTTGTAGAAAGTGGAAAAGCCAGAAATATTGTGACTGCATTTTAAGTAGTCATTGATGGAAAAAGTGTGAGCTACAGGCCAATGGCTCTTCCTAAATGGTATGTCTAGTAATTGAAGGAGGGCTTAGGTGGAGATTTACTCTTCAATGGAACTGAGCACATTAGCTCTCAGATGATTTAGGATTGGGTCTTTAGATAAAAATGGGAGTATTTCTGATGCTACACCCATGCTACCAGCCTAATTAGGTAGCTAGATAATTAGCAAGTTAGCATATTTTCAAAAAGGTTTATATTTTTTGGATATTATAACAGTGTAAGTCATACCACCTGAGAAACTAATATTAACCTAATATATGGGAAAATCAGTCAAATATATACATAATAAAGGTCAGAATATAAGAGACAATAGTGATGTTCTCTCTGTCACCTATTTAACCTTGGAAATATTGCTGCATTTTTCTAGATCATAGTTTCTTCTGAAAAATACTCTAATATCCCTTCCAGGGCTAAAATTCTTACAGTCTATAAGGACTTTTTCCCTCCCTATTATGAAAGGTTCCTAACTACAAAAAGATGCTTAACTCCAGGCTGCTTCTCACCCAGCTTTAAACTTGATGAACATTCTTGCACTTTTGTGCTTTGTTTGGGGTGGATATAACTGTTCTTAAAAACAGTTCTGACAGAGTTAATACTGATGATTTATGTTTCCACACACGAACCTAACTCATCTGTCATTTGTACAGATAGTCAACCCTCCTGTTATGGAAAAGGGGGCACTACTAAAACCAGGGTCAAAGTCACATATAGTAACAAGGGCCCTGTGTAATTCATTATTGTGCTAACTCTATTGATGTTGGTAGGACATTGCTTATAATAATTACCCTGATTCCTCCCCATTAAGATCCAGGAAAGTGAGTACTGTTTTGTCTTGGTGTCAAAAATATCTCCAAAACAAATGCTCTTATTATAATGTACTGATATCAGTAACTTCCCTGTTTAACAGGTTTCTTCTTTTTATAATTCTGGCCTCTAGAAAGCTATAATTTCCTACCATACATCTTTAAATTACACTTTTTGTGAGATGTTCTTAATGTCCCTACAATAATTTGTTTCCATTTCTTTACAACTCTATTTAAAATGCTGTCCTGTATTTGATGTATCATTATAAGTAGCTTTAGAACATTTTTTTGGAGGACAGGAGAATATAAGTAACTAATTCATTCATTCATTAATACCCTCCATATGTTGGGCACTTTACAATACATGGGGCCCTTTTAGGCTCACAGTCTCAATGCTCACTACGAGTCTGTGAGTGAGGCTTTGTAATCTCAAATGCATGATGAGGCACAGACTCAGAGCCTTGGTTCTGAATTTGGGGTCCACACTAGAGAATGGTAGAGTGGAGAGGTCTTACCACCTTGTCATGACAGTTGCCAAGATGGGTTTATGACCTTCAACTACCATTCACACTCAGCTCAGAAAATTGAACCCATTGGACTGAGAGCGCCCCCCCACACACACACACCACACACACACACACACACACACACACACACACACAAACACACACACACTTTGGTGTATAAACTTATGCTGTCTAATATAGTAGCTACCAGCCATTTGTAGCTATTTATACTTAAATTTAAATGAAATGAAATAAAATAATCTCAGTTTCTCATTTGCATAGCCACATTTCAAATGCTCATTAGCCACATGTGATAAGTGGTTACTATATTGGACAGCACTGCTTTAGTCTACTGTTTCTCCGAGGATGTTTTGAAGAATATTTTTCTCCAAAACATATTTTGGCCCATAAATAAGGTTTCGTGGTCAAATAGGTTTGGGAAATGCGGCATTTCATAGTCTCTCTTGAATATTCACAATGCACCACAGTATATTAAAGAAATCTTGCAGTCAAGAAATTGATTTAATTTTGTTTAAACAGCAGTTCCCAAATCCATCTGATCATGCAGCCCTATTTCATGTTGCACTCATTAACAGAGTCCTCTGGCACAGAGGCTAGAAAATTCAGGTAGGATCAGACTTCGTTTGTGCATGGTTATAAATCTTCTCTGGATTTCAACCAAAGTTAGAAAAGCTTTAGCATTCCCAGTAAGGATTTCTTCATGTTTTCTTCATTCTGTTGAAGCAATAAACTATCATCTTACCCAGTTGGTGCCCTCAAACATCTTGAGGTCCAGAGGGTCTCCCTGGATGGTCCCATCCAGGAGGATCAGAGAGTGGCAGCTGGCCATGGCGGCACACAGTGGGCCCCAGGGCAGAGCCTTGCCTGAGGCAAAACTGTGGACTTCCTGGAAACTGGGAAAGAAAATGACTAATAAGTTAAGGCCTTCAACAAAATCATTTTGCACCTGTGCCCCTTAAATCTCACTAACACAGAGCTTCAATAATACCCAATCCCTATGTCAAAAACCTTCAATAGCTCCCCATGTCCAGTATGATAAAGTTCAAACCCGAGCCTGGTATTCAAGGCCCTGACTGCTTCAGTTCTATGTTACCTTACAGATTCTACTCATACTGGTGTCCTTGATGCACAATTTTTCCAGATCCAACTTAAACATCTTGCGATTTCTTCATTTGCACAGGTATTGCCCTGCCCTTGAGCCCTTGGAGAGTTTGCAGATATCAGCTCACTTGGCTTCCTTATTTTCTAACTGGAGTGTTCTGCCTGCACATTGCTGTTCAGAAAACCATCCTTTGAGATGGATGTGAATCTCCTTTTCAATAGTTTGCCACTGGTCAATCAATGCTCTAATTTCAGCATATAGAATCACAGGGACTTCTGTCAGGGTACTTGTAGCCTGCGCACATGATGGCAGCATCTCAGGAAGGCACACTGTAAGGCTCAGAGCTGATTCCTGCAAACTCCCCAGAGCTTTCTCTAGGAAGTCACACACCAGAGGCAAGAAGTTCCTAAGCCAATGGTGCCGAGGAGATGACAGGATGCCTGCCCGGTGGCTCAAGTAAAAGCATGCATGGACTGCAATATTTCTCTCTACTCAGCCTTTTGGCCTTTGCCCCTATTCCCTGAAACTCCTGGCATGGACGTCCAGCATCTAAAGCTTGTTTTCTTCTTTGACAGTAAACCGGTTTGGTTTACCTTCTTCTCCTCCAGTCTTAGAGCTAAATAGAAATTGTATCTAGATGTTTCTATCTCCCAAAAATTTTCAGAGTACTAGGGGCAAGGGAGTGAGAGGCAGGGTTGAAACTGCAAACATCCTTTCCCCCTTTTGTGACTCAGACCAGTAGGGGCCCTGCCTGTCTGGACAAAGACATGGACTGGACCTATACACAGCCAGGGGCAGAGACTCAGGAGTAGGGCTAGAGCCCAGGTAGTTTGTTGAGGCCAGACCATGGGTCTCCTGCAACAGTGTGCGTGCTGCCTGCCTGCTGTTACTCTGCGCCCTTTCATTCCGCTGGAGTGTAAACTAAGGGAAGAGATGGAGCTCTTCTTCTCTGGATTCCCTATCACACCAGCTGCCCAGGAAGTCTTTGCAGTTTTTACTTAAGCACAGTCCTGATTTCGCTCTTTACTGCTCTGTTTTAGTCATTCAGCTTCTTAATCACTAACCTCATTCTATTCCATTTTTCATGTGGAGCTTGAAGGCCTACTTTCCCTGTCTAATTCTGAAATTAGAACTCATTTAATTTAAAAAATTAGAATAATTGGGAGCTGGTTCCAGCCAATTATTATACATATTTTATGGGGCATTGATCCCTCAACACTGGAAGAATGGATTTGAGTAGCCCCAAGGCAGCCTCACAAATGACACATTCCTTCTTCATGAAAGTGCCTACCAGTTGTCAGCAGTGGGGACAGTTCCCCAGAGGTCCAGCCCATCCTCTGTAAGAGTGCCAGTCTGGGGGGAAAAAAATGGAGTCGGTATTAGCATAAGATTTGGAGCTTGTAATTATATCATGACTCACATAAAAAACAAATTCCAGACCTAGCTGGTTTGGTTCAGTGGATAGAGCATTGGCCTGTGGACTGAAGAGTCCCAGGTTCAATTCTGGTCAAGGGCACATGCCGGGGTTGTGGGTTTGATCCACAATGGGGGGCATGCAGGAGGCAGCCAATTAATGATTCTCTCTCATCGTTGATGTTTCTATCTCTCTCTTCCTCTCCCTTTCTCTCTAAAATCACTAAAATTATAAGAAAAAAAAACATAAATAAACAAGTTCCCAAGAAATTAAAGTAGATCCAGTTATCCAAAGCCTTCTCTTTGGAAGCATCAAATTTTAAATCAGAGAAGGGCACCTGAAAGAAAGTTTCAGCAGGTGACAAATGATTCCCAAAAGACCATGTTGATAATTAGAATATTCTAATTACTAACCATTACAACAAAATGGAAGTGATTTGTTTTTGTTTGATAATGTTTTGACTTGTTGTTAAATGAGAGAGGTTCAGTGAATGGATATCTAAGAAGAACCAGCTTTGGCTTTTAGTTGGCACTTGTTATCTTTCTAAAGAAGAGCTCAGAAATTTTTTCTTTACTTTTTAAGACTATTTAGTTCATAGTCTGCCATCTGGTTCACACAATTTCCTAAAATATGGGTGATATGGTGACTTTCCAGATTGATAATAAAATGTTGATAAAGGGCTTTGAGACTAAAAAGAGCAACAAAGTGCTAAATGAATATTAATGAATGTCCATGAATGGGTTTTATTGTTAGGTCAAGAGGAAAATAGTTGGAAGATTTGATTTGCTGTATTATGGGAGAGTATTTATCAGAAAATGTAACAGAGAATTCAAAACAGAACTGAGGACAATAATAGCACTTTTAATTTGCTCATTGTTTCACAGTTGGTCATGAACTACATATCCCAATGTCTTCAGTATGTATGCTAACAGCTTCAAGCCTGTTAATATCCATTCAGAGTAAAGAGCTGGCTACCAACAGCTTTAGGCCTGCTTAACACCCATTCAGAGTAAGGAGCTGACCACCGTTGTGTCAACATTATCAAAGCAAAGCAGAGTACTACCGAGTGTTGGGGAATATCCTGTTTCAACACTGACACCCAGGTCTCTGACGTACTTTTTAAAGGTCATCTCTGTATAAGACACTGAATTTTCAGTTTTCTACTAAACAACATCTTCTATCATTACAGCACATCACATTAGCACAGTACTTTACAGTGAAGTGATCACAATGCTTTCAATTCTTACAACTGAGTAAATAGTTAGACAGTCTCAGGCTACAGGTGACCAGAGCAGCCTTAGGACACAATGGCCTGTAAATAAGAAAGAAAGAGCCAGAATCCAGTCATCTAGAGTCTTCCACTAGATGACAAATGGTAAATAAATTTGGCAAAGTATATGGAAAGACAAAGCCCATACTGATTTTTAGATTAAAGAATTAAGGAATCTTTATTGTATTCCTTCATTTGGACTTTATAGAAAGCTAACATGCCTGTGTGAGTTATTTCTTGAAGGGCAAGAACAAGAAAAGCTATTTGCTTCATTTCCCTCCTGCATTTTATAAGAAACACAACCTATGTGTTTCTAAATCCCCTTGAATTGTTCCATTTCAAAAAGACTTAGCAACTTAATCCAAACTGAGATGTTTTTCTGGTGATTAGATTATGTTTTTAAGCATCAATATTTTGAACACGAAAATAGAGATGGTACGGCAGCAAATAGAAATGGTACCATGTTATTTATCTGCGTGAAAATGACCATAACACACTAAAGCTGACTATAAAATAGAAAGAAACCTAAATTATAGCTGAGATTCTAAAGAGAATAAAGTAGATAAAGAAAACTTCTTGGCATAAATATTAGCCCAGGCTTGGGCTGAATTGAATAGAAAAGGGGGAACTTGTTTTAGAGAACTTACAACAAACCGACATTAACTGGAGATACACATGGGAACAAGTGCACTCAGAAACCCAGTGGTAAATATCTCCTAAATTGAAACAGCACTAGATGGAAATTCAATAATTCAATTAATTGTAGAGTGCTTTTATTCCAACATCATGCTGGTAGAGCTTTATAATGTGAGAGTTAGAAAGAAACTTGATAATCTTATCGCAAAAGTCATGCAGAAAGTTAGTCTAAATTCAGGATTCGATCTCTCATTTTGCTAACTCCCAATCAGGACTCTTTTACACTATCACATGACGACATGCCACCAGGAGTTTGGCCAAGCTTGCTGAGGAGTGGTCCCTAACACAGACTAGCAAAGAAGCACATGAGGATGGGGAGGAAAAAGCTTTACATAGGAAGTAAGATAAACAGCCTGTGTAAAATTAGCTCTAGAAATAGCCAAATATAATGAACATATTTTATAAATCCCTTCCTATATTCTAAACAGTAATGATGTCGCTGGGGTAAGTAATGGGAGTCCCTATCAGAAAATGTCCAAAGGGCTGTTATCTGGCCCTGAATATAAAAGGAAGCTACTATTAAATTAACCCTACGGGCTCCTCACTGATGGCAATAGAGGATTTCCTTTGCCAAAGGAAACTGAAAGAGAATAGAACTAAAGCAATCTAAGAGCTATGCCACTTCCAATTGGGGATGAAGACTTGTCAAGCCTGCTCCTGTCTCTCCAGTTTGTCCTCTACTCTCCATTCTTAACCTCACTGTCTAGGACAATGAGCATGCTCTTCAGTTACCCCCAGATAACCTCCTGCTTCAACCCTATCTCCCTTCTACCCTTCTTTTCAAACGCCCCCATTGGAATAACTAAAACACACCTATAAAAATGTTACTGGCCCTGACCAGTTTGGCTCAGTGGATAGAGCGTTGGCCTGCGTACTGAAGGGTCCCGGGCTCCATTCTGGTGAAAAGCGTTGGCCTGCGTACTGAAGGGTCCCGGGCTCGGGCTCGATTCTGGTGAAGGGCTTGTACCTTGGTTGCGGGCACATTCCCAGTAGGAGGTGTGCAGGAGGCAGCTGATTGATGTTTCTCTCTCATCAATGTTTCTAACTCTCTATCCCTCTCCCTTCCTCTCTGTAAAAAATCATTAAAATATATATTTTAAAAAAATGTTACTGGTCTTTTTTTAAAAAATGGGAAGGACTCCCATTTGCTTCATGACAAGTCCCTGCTCCTTAGCTTGGTACATCAGGCACTGAAAAATTGGGCTCCTCCTCTCCAGCTACATTCCCTACCACACAACCCACATTCCAGCCACACCCCAGTGAACTTTATCCTCCTGTGCTATAGGCCCTCACATCCTTATGTTTCTTAGCTGCTTGGCTCTGAGCCTAGGCCCATTCTATCTAACAACCAAAACCCAGCTCAGAGATGACCTCCCACCTGTGCCAGGTAACTGCACCTCTATGCTCTACTCATACCTGCATTAAGCACGCATCTCACTGCATTGTCATCATCTTCACTTCCATTCACCTGCTTCCTCAGCTAGACCATGAACTTCTCAAGAGCTAGGAACATCTCATTATGGGGCCCTCTGCCAAAGTGGGTTAATTAAAAAGTGGTCAAGCCTTTATCAATTATTCAAATGCAAATGAACTGAAGACACCACCGAGGGAACAAGCCAGGCCATTGCATTATAGCAGTGAAGCTATGAGGCAGAGAAATGAATATGCTCACTTCAGCTTAGGACAAAGCACTTCAGGGAATCAAAATGTCCCTCAAATTTTCTTTTTTCTTTTTTTTTGCCTGAAAAAGCAGTCATATCTATAAGTTACTACAGTAAGAGATTGTTTAGAAACTCAAAACAGGGACCAGAAGTATTAAATTTCACAGGAAAGAAATTCACGAGTGATGGCTGAACCACTTCCTGGGTCTCAGCACAGCAGGCTTCTAAAACATGATCTCACATGAGCTCACTATGTGGCCTTCTCTGGCCTCAGTAATCCCATCTGTAAAATGAGTGCGCCAGACTAGACATTCTCTGAGGCTCTTCCCAGCTCTAGGACATACTTTGTCAAAGCACACGAGGTTTATTTGTCCGCACATATTGATTCTCTGTGGGGAGACACAGAAGATTTTCTTTTTCTTCAGCCTCTTTTGTGCATACATGATGCCTGTGGTCAGGGCAGCTGGCAGCACTGGAGGGACAGTTCCGGTGAAGAGGAGCAGGGCCATGGCTATGGTACGTCTTGGTGAGACCTGGGGAGGGGAGGGACACACAGGTTAGCCCAGCCAAGCAGGCTGGCACCCTTCCTGGCACTGTCTCCCCCAACACAGGAGCGCTAATGACTCAGAAGATTCCTACCGAACTGGCTCTCTCAGCGGGGCTGAGGGTTCTCAACGAATGAATAAATTGCCTCCCACTGCAGAACACAGGAGACTCTGGTCCTCACCCCACACTCTCCATGACTCGGTTTCTCTCCACATAGCATTCTTTCCACTCAGAGAGCCTAGCCCTTCTCGGCCCATCCATACACCCTCTGGTCTACCAGGGCACTGGGACTAGTCTAGAGTTATATTTCACACAGTGGCCTGACTCTTGGATTATAAACCTCTCTCCCCCTCTAGCCCACAAACTCCCTGGGTACAGCAGCTGTAGCTTACTCATCTTTGAATTTATCTTATTCATCTCTTGATAGAGAGGTTAGCACAGTTTCTGACACGGAGGAGGTGCTCAGCACACACATTGAATAAATGATAACTTGCTAAAAACTATGACCAATATTTTGCCAAGATCTCAGCAATATTATCTGCTATCGGGAAGCCAATAATGAAAATAGCTGGCCCTCACTGGACACACACTCTGAGACGGACGCACACACATTGCTTAGTTATTCCACAATAACCTCATGATGTATGTACCATTATTTTTTCTTAATCACTTAATAAGTGAGAAAACCAAGGCTTAAAAATTAACTTCTTCAAGGCCTCATGTTAGTTAAACGATGAGGATCTGAACTCTAGTTGATCTGACTCCAAGGCACAAATGCGTACCGATGTGTTTTACTAACAAGCCAGTTCTCCTGGAGTCAAGATTCCAGGCAGATCTGAAGAAATTCACAGGCTGGTAAAGGCAGGGCCAAGATCAAGTCATGGGGTGGTTTGTTTTCTTTTTCACATGCCCTAGATATAATGGCTCAATCCTCTCCAACCTTCCCTAGGTGTTATTTTTTTTAAATGAACCATAAGTTTGACCATAAAGTCCTCTTTTGAGTACTGAAATCGCAGCTTCAAATTCAGTAGCAATGGCTGATACATCTTTGGTCCAATCTCGGTTTATTGCAAAATCCATAATTGCCTGCTTTTCCCTCCCACAGCCACAGAGGAGTTTTGACTGTAAGGATTCGGCCCTGTCTAATCTTGAACCAGTGCACATAAAGGAGGTCAACAGCACCACAGGTTTTGACCCCAAGAAGATGGGGTCTGTAATTAGCCTTGTTGCTTTGGTGCATATTAGATGTTGAGTCCTGCCCAG